TGCTTTCAGTAATCTTGTATCATTATCGTATATTAGGAATCAATGACTTTTATCTATCGTTAAAAAATATATATTATAAATTACCGTCGGAAAATACCAATTGAATCACTTAAATACTACTAGAAAAGTCTATATAGGTAGGTAAAATATTATAATAATATATTAATATGTAAGCACAGTAAATAATTATTAAGGGTCATGTGGATAATAATATGTTTTCGAAACGTAATTTATGTTATATTATTCAAGAAATACTTTATTTAACAAGTGTGTGAAAGAAAATATTAATATGTTTAGCTTATTTCGCAATATTTATGATAAAATTCAATGGATAGGTACCCATATACATTTTTAATTTTGTTGACTCGATGTTTATGATAGTAGTGTATTATGCACATTGCACACAAAATAATAAGTTATGAGAATACAAATACAACAACAAATTATGCAACAAATATAAAAGAAAACTTTTATGTATTTTGCAAATAAAGTTTCGAACATAGATTTATTGTAAAATAAACATAAACAAAGTATAATAGCTGGCTGTTAGATGCAACCATTTAATAGTTGTATAAAGTTTATTAGAACTCTATAATAAAACAACCTTAATAGTTTTTAATTAATATTATATTTAAAACAAATTCTCATTTCCAACTAAAGTTCCATAAAATCACCAAAAACATTACTGAGTTTTGAAACAACAACGTTAGAAAAACGTACGTATCTTAATCATTAGCTTGGCAGTTTATTATTGACTGCACAATAAGAATATAGTCAAATGTAGTCTTACAACATTTTTAAATGTTCACTGTTTTCATAGTTTATTTGAAAAATCACAAGTAAGGAATATTAAAGTTAAATTAATGGTTTGGTATGAGTATGTATACTAGATTTTTTTTTATGTACCAGTCGTAGGAATTGTAAAAAAGTATTCATTTTCAAATGGGATATTTCGCTCTCACTGTTTTTTTCATACACATTATACACAACACGTGATATTACAATAAGGTGTGTCGGGTTTTGTTTTCGGTTTTTTTAATGATAAATAGCTCATCGCAGGGTTAACATGTGTACGTTTGTATAATAAAATATGTATGATATATAAAAAGGTGCATATTAACACAAGTTGACAAACAATATGAATAGGACATTCTTTTGTCATTAAAGCAGTAGGCGTAGCCATATATAAATATTGTGCACCTATATATATATATACACTATTGACACTTCGGCTTATAATGGCGAAATTACGCAGGTACACTGCTATAGCGTATTATATGGATATTTTTGTGAATTTTACAATACTATATATATTGCGTGTCGTTCTTAATTAAAAACAACGCGCGACGGCACAGGCAGATGACATCCGCACTAGTTTTATAGGAGTCGGTTAGGTACGGCGCACTTGATATCAGAGAAATTAAAAGCTTTATGTCCGTTCGACGACGTTGACGACAACGATGATGATAATAATAACAACAACAAAATACAACTTTTGTCGTTACTCGTAAAACGTCGCAGAAAAGCGTATTATAATACAATATATTAGGTATATATATTTTTTAATAGGTGCACCTTAAATTGCAAACTAACAAACTATCCAATATATTATAATACCCTACACGTATATTATAGCAGTGTGGTGTTCAATGTTTAAAGTTTTTTGAGTAAATATCAAACGCACGTGTATATTATTAGTATATTATGTGTGGTATAGACTATAGACTATAGACTGTGTGGTAATATGCATTAGTATAACTACATCATAATAATATAATACAAGCAAATACAAAACGCTTTAGACGAGACTCTACCGGATGATCTGTTTAAAATAAGACAACTCTTTATTTTCAAAAAATGTAAACTTTTTGAAAATATGAGTGGAATAGTTGGCAGATCCCTACAAAATGTTAGCCTACAACACAACTCATTAATACTTAAAAAACTTATTAGTTATAATTAATAAACAAATTGTCCAAAATCTGATTTATATAGATGGAAATAGTTATACCTACTCCAAATAATATTCTGTTTCAGAATCTAAAATTAGAAATTCATGCTGTCAAAAGATTCAAAAACAATAACGATAAAAATATAATTTTATCCAAAAATGTTGTTTTGTACTGACTTAAAACTATGCATAAGAAATATTTTCAAAAAATTTTTTGAAAGAACTAGTGTATTATACGTTAAATGATCTCGTATGTCTATATAGCTTCCTTCTGGCGTCAGGTGGTATGACATATGGGAGGTTGCCGTGTAATTATCTATACTATAATATTGCCAAACCACCTAACGAAAATATCGTAAATTATAAACGACAGGAAAAATCATGTCGACCGAAAACTCTCCACTCAAAAACGAACACGACTCGATGTCCACTGTGGTGCGATGTCTTCCAAACAATAGAATAGATGTTTTTGTTCCACCCGAGTACTATGCAGAAAGTGTGTGTCAATGTCAAATTATTTGTGGACAACGATAAAACATTATTATCAGTTGCATTTGGAAGCTGAAGTGATCTCAGTTGCACTTTTTTCTATTAATAAATAATAATTTAAGTTTTTTTGAAATCTTGAAAAACATTTTTTGCATTTTCTATGAAAAATATTTGCACATATTTAACATTTTCGTTTACATTAATATGTAATAATTTACATGTATTTTTTTTTTCATATTACTTGTCTATTTCAGGTTCTATATTATAACTTCCGAACCCTCATTATAATATTATAATATCGCGTTTTACATGATCGACGCTACCGCAGGTATGGAGATCTGCCGTGTTCCGTTTATTGTTGAAAATGTAGTTTTAAACGTAACTACTTACGTGTCGTGCAGTTAATCGATGAAGTGTGTTTGTGTGTGTGAACTTGTGAAATTCGGTAGCGTGGGATTTTCGGGTCATCCGCCCCCCGTTTGCGTTAAACAAATCGCCCTCGACGATAAAAATAAAAACAACAAAACACACACACACACACACATTCGTTATTACTTATTATTATATGCCCTAAAACTAATAGAATCGAATATAATCGAGTTCGCGCCCCGCGGAGACCGGTAATTTATTTTTTCCCAGACGATTGCACGCGCCCATACCCCGTCCACTATTATAATAATATAATATTTATAGATAACTAGTGCCCGCGACGCGTTTAAAATATTATTATTATGCGTCCGCTACACGCGTGTGTTCGACGCGGATGGTAATTATTACAGTTTATTTGCCGTACAACACGACATCGATCTCCGGGTATAATGACCGAGTCGTGAGGCATAGCCCGTAGCACTCTATCGCACGAACGCCCGTTCACGTTTGTATAATATTATTATTATCATGTACCCAACGCGACCATACAATATGCATATAAAATATACTGGAGTTATGTGTGTTGAACATTTATTGTTATTATTATTTTTGTTGTGTGCTCACGTGAAATCGGGTGGTAAAATTATTTCACACGTATTATTTACTGTCGTTGTCCTCGTGTATATGTTATGTTGTCGTAATATGTTATACCGTGTGAGTATATGAGGGGTGATTCGCCGAGTTCCCTTGAAGAGAGTCCAGTGGCGATAGAAACTTCAGTTTCCTAAATTTTAACTCCCTTTTCATTGTACATTTTATAAGTTTTAATTTTTTTCAATATGTTGGTGTAGGTGTATCTGATTAAAAATCTCGAACGATTTATTTCTCAGTTATGAGAAACATTTTCAGAAAAATTATCTGCTTAATAGTATACGGTGGAAGGGGGATTATCATTTTAAAACCGGAGAATTTATGTATGTATCTTAACAAGGCATATGGAACTCCTTAAGTGGTATATGAACATTTTAAAGAAATATCTTTAAGTATATCTATTTTAAAATTCCAAAACTTCTGATTCGCATTATTGTCGATAAAAATAAATGGGGTGATCACTGAGCATACTTGACTTGAAGAGTTTATCCCGGAGAGACGACATTCTCTACCTGTACATATAATACACAAAATTGACTGTTTTATGAATAATGTCGTGAACATATTATTATTATTATCGTGTTTGCAGGTGATTAATATAATATCTACGTAATGCGCAAGATTGCGTAAAACGAAATATTCTTAATATGAGTTATAGGTACAAAAACTACTGCATTATAATTACGATACTAAAAATAATAGTATACATGCTGTACAGTGCTCGCGTTGTAAATATTATTTTTTTTTTGTCTACGTAGGCAGTTGATGATTGGGAAAATGTCCAATGATTAGGTATAGGTATGATAATAATTGGATCTCGACTGTTACGTGTGTTTCATAATATGATTATAGTAGTTTATAGTACATATTATTAAACGAAAACTGTAATTTGGCGAATTTCGAATAATTATATAGTATTCTATGCGAGTCGTACAATATAATATTATGTCGTAAGGCAGGGGGTGGGCTGGACTGAGATGACCATTAGACGCTATTAAGCCTCCTATTGGTCAGTATAATACATACAAGTCTTTTCTTTTTCCATTTTACTGCTGTAATTATTGTTATATTTTTATACTTTCTCGTATATTGACTCCATATGACGGAAGCGTTGATCGCACAATACCTCAGGTCAAAAAACAAACTTTGATTGTTTGAAATCCGATAAATATTCAAAATAATAATGTAATATGTAGGTAGTGCTGTAGATTTTTATTTTGTCAAATTTTTGATGTCTGGAACTAAATTTAAATTCCTCAAAATTCCCTCGAAACTGCCATTGCACAACATAAGACTCGTTATCAACAACCTTTTTCTGTTCCTCCGAGATTCGACATAACTACTGCTTACTGTATAATGTTATATTATAGTAAGTGTGTATACTAACTATTGGCACGCGATGTGTTAGAGGCACTTAGAGCACACAATCGTTTTAAAACCTCGTGCTCTGTATAGTGAAATGTTTACACGTGCACCGATAACGACGTACCTATTGTATACTGCAATAATACATTTATTTATTTCAAATGACGTGTTGCAGGTATCAGTTTTTCCTGCAGCTCAAACAGGATATACTGCAAGGACGCGTACCCGTCACCCAAGAACTGATGGCCGAGCTGGGAGCGTACGTCGTGCAATGTGAGTATACAATAATATAATACAACGATAACAATGTATCGGGTGATCTATATTCAATGTAAGATACTCATTATTTGGAAAACATTTTTTGCCACTAATTTTTAACATCGATATTTATTTATTTATTAATTAATTATTTCAATGGCTATAGTCTAGTATAGAAAACAGTAATTATTTTAACAATCAACATAGAAACACAGTAACAAGAAAATAGAATGAAAAAAAAAGAAAATAGACTTTAATGATTAGAATAAGTAATAACTCATAGTGATAGAATACGTTATATTGACTAATTAGATTAATAATAAGTAGAGGTATAGGTAGTAAATTGCCTCATTTTAACGTGAAGTAGGTAACGTTTAAGAGATTGAAGTGAATTAAGTGAAAAAGTTGCGATATTTGGTATATTTACAGAACGCAATTGTTTCGTTATTGTTTTTCTAAACTTTTGTAGCGACAACATGCATTTTTAAATCCTTAATCCACAACAGAATATTTTTCGGGGAATATCAATATTATAATGCACAAATTTAATTTTTTACGAGTAGCTTATGAGATAAAAGTAGGTATTTAAAGTTTACATCAGAGGAGTGGAGTACTGGAGTGGTACTGAGGCAGGTCCCTACAAAATGTCCGTCCACTACTCTACTTAACTTACATCTTAACTTTAAATATTTATGGCTAATTAACTATAATTGTTCAAAATTTGAGTTTTGTAGTTCGAAATACTTCAGACCTTCGTATTATATTCTTCTTCGGAATCTAATGAAATAAAAATACCTATATTATGTTGTCAATCAATAGAGTAAAAAAAATTAAAAAATGAAATCAATAAAAAAATATTAAAAAGTATAATTTTTCAAGATATGATTCTTTAAGTTATGTAAAAGTAATATTTTCTAAAACGTTAGTGCTTTCTGAAATATTGAAAGTGTCTTTTAAATGAATTGACGTGTACATATTATGTGATATTTATGTAAATTTATTTCACACTTGTGCTTAAAAGGCGTTTGATATTGACAAAGACATACATGATTGCAAATAATAACGGAAGGGTTTGTTTGGAAGGTGCACGCCATCCTGTACCTAATGAAACGATTTTGCCCCTAGCCCACAGGTTTTCGGTTTTTCATTTTACCGCTATACACGCACGTAAGGATATAAAGTAGTCGTTCTGCAGTTTCCGTTACTACGGCTTTTTTTTTTCGTAAAAACCATCAGACCAAAAATCGAAAAGACGGGCAAAAACCGAAATTAAAAACAAGGAAAATACTACAATATCCGGTGCGTTTTACACGCCGCACGCACTTCATCCCGAGGCCGTTGTTAAACTGCGAAAATTGTTTTTCCACTTGTGTAGTTCACTGCGCGTTTTCTGCATAAAACTTTTTCACGCCTTACCGAATCATCGCTGCAGCCACCATCACTAAATCCACCACCACTACCCTCTCATTACCGCTGTCGTGACTTCCGACCAGAGTTTGAACATGTCCTCAACGACGTCGTCGTGCAGTGTAGTATAGTCAAAAAGAAAAAAAATAATAATAACACTCTCGCCAACAAAGTCGACCACCGCAGTTTTAAACAATAGTCCTTTGTGTGCTCTATTTTTTTTTTTACCAAAGCTGCTCATGGTGAGCTCAAGACTAAAATTACATTAAAAAAAAAAATGTATTTAATCTAAAAATTATATAAATATATAGTGCGAAACGATTCTCTGAAGCTATTGTAAATTGAGTACTATAATGGTTTTAACTAGGACGTTTTACGAAATGTCACCAAATTCCTTTAGTTAATCACTTCGACAGATAATTTATTCCCATCGTTTATTCGGCGGGAAATTGTGTAATGAATAAAAGAGTATAAAATATTTCCCTATAGATTTCTTTCATTTTTTTTACATCGTATAACTCTATTGCTTTAATATATTATTATCAATATGTAATTCTGCAGAAAATACGGTCTTTAAGACAATTTAAGAATCCCAAAAATCAGAATTAGAATAAATGCTTTATTTTACGTAATAATGGGAGTGGGGGTGCTTAGTGAATCATCCTGTATCTATAAACTCGTGTTATGGAGCGTAGAAAATTTATCGAAATTGTTAGTCATCTTCTTGTTATTCACGATAAGACATTAACTTTCAAAATTCAAAGCATCCCTAAATTAATTTAATTTATGTACACAAACACGTAAATTCTTCAGCAGAGATCGTTGAAGGTGTAGTTATGTTAGGTGGTATTAATTTTAGTTTAAGTTCGACTCTTTTAAAATATGAAGGAATCACAACGACAATACTTAAAAGCCTTACGTAAAGTTTACGATCTTACGAAATTCTTCATGTTCTCCGTTTACTATACAAAAATGTTTGTTTACTGAGACTTTTTTTGCTTTGATGTGTTTTTTCTATTCGCCAACTACGCCGAGTGACATTTTATCGTAATAGTTCATCCACGCTCAATACAGTTTACAGTTGACATTTCGACGGAAAAACAGGTCGTTGACTCCTCTATATAAAGTGTAAGATGTTAATATTATATTATATGACCCATTCCGGTTAAAACTATAATATTATGTGTGTTGTTAGCTGAAAATTTCAAATCGTAAAATCGTAATGCAAATGGTCGCTCATCGATATTATTGTCATTTGTAATAATATTTTAAGTTCAATAGACTCCTCTGTCGACTATCTTCCGGTATTATAGAAATGGGATGTAAACGCAACTATATGGCTATTATACTGGTGTTTGATATTTCAAATTGATACATTACATTTTATATATAGACTTACATTATATTATTACATTAAAAAGTAAATAATGTAACTCTAAAACAGCCCATCACGTTAAATGTAATTTGGGGATCTCACATATTACTATATATAAATAACTACTCAACAAAAACTGAACAAACTTAATCAGATTACATTTACTATAGGTGCAGCAAAATAAACATATAAACAAGAAAAAATGTCGTCAATCGTCATCTGATACTGTTTTTCGTCTAATATTTATCTGAATAGAAATATTATGTGATTGAGAGCACTGTGTTTTATTTTATACGACGAAATTATATCACGTGTATTCAAACATTGTATAGTATTCGACTATTCTTCAACTCTGAACAATTTTTATATTTTTCTTACTAAAAATACGTTAGAGTAAAGAAATGTTGACAAACTTTGGTGATAATAAGTGCAAGATACGTTGACTGTTTATGCCGAAAAAATTGATCGAAGCAGTTATAAGAATAACTTAATATCGGGTTCATTAGACAATAATATGTACCTTTATTATATCTGGCAGGCGGACAAAACGGCAAGGCGCGTGAGGAACGAAGAGCGTGACGTTATAACTAATAGGTAATAAATATTTAATTATTATAGCAATACGCGTTGACTTGAAACAAGGCGGTTACTAATTATTACTTGACGACTAATGTGACTGACGACCGAGATAGATTATAATAATAATATGTGTGTTGCGCGTACAATATAATAATTTTGTAATAAACGTTTGTCTTTTTTCGTGAGTGCCACGGCAACGGAGACAACCCTTGGGTTAGTCAAACCGAGAGGAAAAAGGCGATAACAGTAATCCTATCGCAACGTTTTCTGTGAGAATTGGTCGACAACTGACTGTGAAATACCACGGATTGTGAAAATAAGGGTAAATTCCAAAAATAACAAATCGAAATGGGCTAACGTCGAGTGTGACATATAATGGGATTTATAATTTTATTATGTATAGGTATACCGAGCGATCGTTATAATGAAAGAAACTAATAATTTCAAAAATTATAGGTACCTAAACGTTTTTGAAAAAATTTTTTTACATTATTTTATTTGTTAAAAACCAAATTTTTCAAAAATAAAATATTTTAAGGAAACACCGCAAAATGTTGGTTCACTACTGGGCTAGTTAAAATTTTAGATAGATTAATTCGTATATATATATATATCGAAGAGCAAAAAATAAACCACACCGGGTGCAGTGTACTCGTGATATGCATATGCTTTCACATATATTACACCTATATCTGGCTACCTATATGTATACATATGACACCGTCATATATTTCTATTATCGTATTTAAATACGTTTCAAATCATTTTTTGACTCGACGACCTTTGAGTGTGAAGTCTTCCGTCGTGTTTGTTTCTAAAAAATACGTCACCGTTAGAGTAGGACGTGGAGCTGTCAGCACGGAAACTCGTAATACGCAATATATATATATTTAATAACGCAAACGTATCCGAAATCCTGAGATAACGAGTATTAGTCGAGCAAAAGAGGGTCGGATGAAGTGTCGTGTTGCTCGACAGATTTTTTCGGTAAAAAATGCTATTTTTCTTATTTTTGATAGTGGGAGGTGCAGGGTTTAGCTTATATATATATCTATGTATATACCCTCGGGGCTGTAAAACGAAACCGACTTATTTTGACGGCTGACACTCGTTATTATTGTTTCGAAAATTGTTGTAACTTCGGAGAATTTGCTCCTCGAAAAATGTATAAGATACATTCGATTTCAACGTTTTATGCAATTAAACCCACCCTAACAGACACTTCTAAATAGAGAACACCTCCAAATAGTGGACAAAATTACAGCTATCTAGTGGTTTCACTGTGTATTGTATAATGTTGTATATCTAAGTACCTAAGATTTCATATTTTTCAGACACAAGCATTTTTTCTAAAACCATTATCAACTTTTGAGTTTTAAATTTCAACCGTAATTTAAATATATTTATATTTAGAAATATATGTATATACTCTTCAACGTTGATGTATAGGTATATACTTTCTAGGTTCTATAAAGAATATTGAAGGATCTGATATATTTTTTTTTATTAATAAGTATTCAAAGTTTAGACGTGCAAAGCACACGCGTTTTGTTGGGTGCCCCTTGCCACTTCAATACTCTTATAACTAAATTAAAAATATGCTTATAAATCAAAAGCTAAGGTCATTCGACTTTTATTCAGATAATAAAATTAA